CAGCCCAGAGAGGGCTCCTGTTCCCACGTCCAGCCCAGAGAGAGAGCTCCTGTTCCCAAGTTGGGCCCGGAGAGGGCTTCTGTTCCCACATCCAGCCCAGAGAGGGCTCCTGTTCCCACGTCCAGCCCAGAGAGAGCTCCTGTTCCCAAGTTGGGCCCGGAGAGGGCTTCTGTTCCCACATCCAGCCCAGAGAGGGCTCCTGTTTCCACGTCCAGCCCAGAGAGGGCTCCTGTTCCTGAGTTAAGCCCAGGATGGTCTGTGTTTCCCACTGCCAGTCCAGAAAGAGACTATGTTCCCAAGTCCAGCCCAGAGAGGGCTCCTGTTCCCACGTTCAGCCCAGAGAGGGCTCCTGTTCCTGAGTTAGGCCCCAAGAAAGCTCTTGTTCACGAGTTAAGCCCAGAGAGGGCTGTGGTTCCCACGTCCAGTCCAGAAAGAGACTATGTTCCCAAGTCCAGCCCAGAGAGGGCTCCTGTTCCTGAGTTAAGCCCAGAGAGGGCTGTGGTTCCCACGTCCAGTCCAGAAAGAGACTATGTTCCCAAGTCGGGCCCAGAGAGGGCTCCTGTTCCCACGTTGGGCACAGAGAAGGCTTCTGTTCCCAAGTCCAGCCCAGAGAAGGGCCCCTGTTCCCGAGCCAGGCCCACGGAAGGCCTCAGAACCCGAAATTTCCCCCAAGGAAATTTTTTTTGGGGGGAGGGGGGCTATAGGGCTCCGGCCGTAGAGGCCCGGCTATAGGGCTCCGGACGTAGAGGCCGGGCCGAGTGCCGAGGCCAAGGCCACGGAGGCCGCTCCGCCATGGGTCCCCGAGCTGCCTGATCCGCCATGGGTCCCGGAATGGGTACCGCCCTGGAGGTCTTCCGTCCTGTGTAAGCCTGTCTCTAGAGGCCTCCAGAGCACTCACCCCCCCACCCCGTTGGAAGTTATGAGGCGCGTGGACGCGCCTTCCGGGAGGGGGAGGTAATGTCACACCGAGGGGGAGGTAATGTTGTTTTGCTTCCCATGTGCTCCGTGACCTGTGTGACTGTGCCCATATTTGGTTATGTTCCTGTTCCTGTTCCTAGTGTGTTCATTTGATTTAGCTGTGTCTCATTGAGTTTTGTTAAAGGGGTCATATGATGCTGCTAAAAAGAACATTATTTTGTGTATTTGGTGTAATGAAATGTGTTTATGCGGTTTAAAGTTAAAAAAACACATTATTTTCCACATACTGTACATTATTGTTTCTCCTCTATGCCCCGCCTTTTTGAAACGCGTCGATTTTTACAAAGCTCATCGGTCTGAAAAAGCGAGGTGTGCTCTGATTGGCCAGCTATCCAGTGCGTTGTGATTGGCCGAATACCTCAAGCGTGAGACAGAAATGTTACGCCCCTCACATACTGTTGATGCCGTGTCCTGGCCGGAGCGACGAGACAAAAACATTAAAACCCATTACAAAAGAGGCATTTGTTGCATCCAGTGGGGACATAACTACTGATTATAATGACTTATACTGTCATTTTACGCGTTGCGTTGCATTGCGTAAACATAAAACCATCAGCACGGATCAGCTCTAGGCATGACGAAGCGGATATCGTTCTCTTTTGGAAGACCAAACAAAGTAGTTTCGCTTTCACAATGAAGCACACAGCGTCTTCAGGACATGGCGGCAGCGTCAACAATACTACAGCGAGAATAAAAGTTACGCCTTTTTTCTTTGCGTGAACATTTGGGCGGCGTTATGCAAATCTTCCCGCATAGTGAGGTAGATATGTGGGGGCGTGTTCGAACGAGCCGTTTTAGGTAGGTGTGGCTAACTCTTAACTTTTATAAAGAATATCTCTTTGGATTTGAGACTTTAGTCTTTACAACTTTACAGATCTTCTTTATGCACCAAGAGCTTGTAACACTCCAAAGAGAAAGGAAAAAATGAAATCGCATCATATGACCCCTTTAAAGGAAATAATACTTCAGCAACTACTGTTGGATGCATTAAATTGTTCAAAAGCAACAGTAAAGACATTTATAATGCTACGAAAGTTTTCTATTTCAAATAAATGCTGTTTTTTGCACTTGTTTTCATCAAAGAATCCAGAAATTATTTTTTTTAAGTTTCCACAAAAATATTAAGGAGCCACAACTGTTTTCAATGTTGATAATAATAGGACATGTTTTGAGCTGCAAATCAGTATATTTGAATGATTTCTGAAGAATCATGTGACACTGAAGACTGGAGTAATGATGCTGAAAATTCAGCTTTGCATCACTGGAATAAATTACATTTTAAAATATATTCACATAGAAAATAGTCATTTAAAATTTTTACTGTATTTTAATCAAATAAATGCAGCCTTGATGAGCATCAGTGTCTTAAAAACATTACAAATCTTACAGGCCCAAAACTTTTGAACAGTAGTGTAAATCTATAAAGAATATCATGAAGAATGTGATTATTCTTCAAAATAACACAGAAGAAAGAAATGATGTGAGTAAATGATGAGAATTTTCATTTTTAGGTTAATTGTTCTCATAAGGCAGAAAATAGTATGATCTCGTTGCACTCCAAAACTCGATATTAATGCCTTTAATATTACTCGATATTAATTAACTCATATTAATGCCTATTTGAATCTAATTGTTTTCATTTTCCCACCCAATTTCTCTACCACTACTCCTGCATTTCTAAAATACCTACCATAGAGTTCACCAAGAGTAAACACTATTCTTAGGACTTTTTGATTTAAATCAGTGATGAATTATGTGTACGTTCATGCGGGTAAGTGCTGTGTGATGCATGCAATGTAATCTGTGCAGTGGCTTCATTCATTTTGCCCTTGAAAGGAGACAGGGCATGTAGATCAGATATGTACTTTGAAAACCAGACGAGCAATCCAAAACCTTTTCCTATCACCACCTGCTGAAAAATAGCACTGTGGGGGAAAATAATGGATTAAGCACAACTTTAAGCCATAATTCCTTGGTCACTCTCGTGTCATTGTGGCCTCATTTTATTATCTTTCTTCTGTAAAACACAAAATGAGATGTTAAGTCTGGGTTTATAAATCTTAGACTGTGTTTCATGAAAGAAAGAAAACATCACAAGGTCTATCCAACATGACATCACTAAACAGATAAAGTATTCCTTTAAAAACTCTCATACTTTCACTCAGTCTGTCAACAGGAGGCAGAATTGGCAGAGGATTATTTTTTCATAACTCTCCACTAGAGGGCAAAATTGTACAGGGAATTTCTTCATGCTCTCAGTGTTCATACTCCTGTCATGATAGTTGTAATGACTCTGCTTGGTGTCATTGGATGGTAAAATATGCATTGGTTGCAATCTAAGCAGGTATAGTGGGTCATCCAAGTATTTGTGCCAACTTTCCCTAGTAAAAAAAAGTAATATATTTAAGATACATTTATTTCATACTAAGTATAGTTCAAATATATTCACATATTTACTGACATATCGCTCGAGACTTACTGATATAAAAACACTGAATTAAACTTTATTTGGAGTACTACTTTTGCACAATGCACATTTCTTAATATCAACTTAAAATGTGTTTTAATGTCACAATTGATGAGAATTGTATGATCTTCGAATAATATCGCTCTTTAAATACAAGATATTTAAAGTGTACCTGAAGTATACTTGCAATAGTTCCACTTTAGCACACTACAATATACTTCAGTATATCTTTAGCTGGATTTCAGCACTACTTACGCACAATTAAAGTGCATCAAGTACAAAATTAGTTGTTCCAATTTAGCTGACTATTATTATAGTACACCAGTAGTATACCAAAAGTACAATTGCAGGGTATTTTTATTAAGTGCATAAATATGTAAATGTATTTGGATCTAGTGGAGGGTGAGTAAATGACAACATTTGCATTTTTGACTGAACTATCCCTTTAAGGGGGATTCACAAGTACAGCGTCTTGTGACAGCAATCGGAAGTCAATGATTTTCTATGAGATTTGCACTTGTGTTTGAACGTTTGAGTTCAGCTTTATGCAAATGAATGTTATGCAGTGATGAGGTGACTAATTAGGGTTGACACTGTATCAGATTTTGACTATACGATATTGCGATAAATAGCGATACAAATTTACAATTTTATTGCAATTTCCATAGAAATTTTGGGAAAGTATAAAATAAATGAATGAATAGTGCCATCACTCACATTCATCTTTTAACTTTATTTTGTGTTTTCAAAATACACGTTTAGGGAGGTAGAGAGAGAATTTGTAATCTTAACTCTTAATCAGCACTTCCTGTACTAAGTGCACTTCCAGCACTTAGACTGGGCTGTTCACACCAAGAACCATAACTATAAAGATAAGTATATTGATATCTATAATATCATCCACACCATGTTCTGTTTATTATAAGCATATGCTACAGTTGTCATCTGCTGCTTTAATGCTCAAGCGCTTTTAACATCAGCTGGATTCCGATTGGCTGTCAATGTTTTTATCGTTCATCAGCTGGATTCCGATTGGCTGTCAATGTTTTTATCGTTCAGCTGGATTCAGATTGGCTGTCAATGTTTTTATCGTTCAACAGCTGGAAAATTTTTTCTAAAAGTGATTCCAATTATATTTTTTCATTTGTGATATTATCGTTTTATTTGCTGTGAAATCTTAATAGTTGAAATTATCATCTTTTATTACAGATTTAAAAAAACTCATACACTGGTGAGGTAACTTTTTCAGGTGTGGGTAGAGTGTCATCTCCGACAACATGATTTTGTGCAGAAGTAGTAGTTACGCATTTCATCGTCTTCTTTTTTCTATATTATGATGGGTTGCAACCAGTGCAGTACCTCCACCTGCTATGTTGGAGTATCAAAAGTTTATAATTTTGTATGTGTATTATTAACACATATGTCATTGCACTTCATTTCCTCCCAGTTCTTTCCATGTAATACTTCATGCTTTAAGCGTAATGCCTTCCTTGTTTCTCTGTGGTCAGGTCTTCCTAGACATGGTGGAGAACTACCCCACCAGCCTGCGTGTGCTGGTTCTAGCCGAGAACGACATCAGCCCTGAGCTGCAGCAGCAAATCTCAGATCTCCTCTCTGAAGGCGAGGAGGAGGAGGATAAAGACGGAGAGGCGCACGGACGCTTGGTGACCCCCAGGGAGAAACCAGCCTGGGTTCCCCACAGCAGTAAGGGCTGACCAGCCTCACTCTCTCAGCCTGTTCTCTTTGCTTCAAGACTGTTTCATTTAGATTTCTCTTCCACTTTCTCTTTCCCTCTTTGTGTGTGGATGACTTTCCTAGAGTAACTGGTTCTAAGAGGCTGGGGCAAAAGGGAAGTACAGAAATTGACATTACTCATGCATTATTTAGGAGAGATCATTTCTACTTACGAAACAGAAATATGAATTTCTTATAAGGGCCAAGTTGTGAGTTCTCTGTCCTGTATATCCTAAAGTCATTCGACTTAGAGGTTATTATTAGCAAGGTTAAATCCGAAAGGAATAGTTCGGCTGAAAATGATCATTTTATCATCACTCACCCTCATGTCACTCCAAACCTATTCGACTTTCTTTTCTGCACAAAAGATGAGTTTTTGGAAGCAAATCCTGGTCATTCCTTTCCATATAATGAAAGTGAATGGGGACTTGGAGGTAACAAAAAAAATCACCTTAAAAGTATCAAAGAAGTACTCTATTTCACTAAAACCAATGCTGTCAATAGTGTCGATGCCCCATTTTTACAGAAAGACTGTTATACTCAACGATTTTCAGAAAAATAGCCTACATTTTCTTTATACGTTAATGATTTTTGGTACATTCTACAGAAGTCGAATGGATTATTTTTTTGGTACTTTAATGTATTTTTTTTGTCATTTTGGAGCCTGAAAGACCCAGTCCCCTCTCATTTCCATTACTATACTTGCCTGTTCAAAAGTTTGGGGTCAATAAGATTTTTTTTAAAGACATTTATTCAGAAAGAACACAAACAGTAAAGACTTTTAGATTGTTTTAAAAAATGATTTCAAATGATTTCAAATTCAAATACATTCTGTTCTAACTGAACATTTATTCATCAAGGAATCATGAAAAAGGCTTGCACAAAAACGTCTCAGGTTACGTATGTAACCATGGTTCCCTGAGAAGGGAACGAGACACTGCGTCCTCTATCTAAACACGACAATGATATTGGCCGGCGACAGCCTATGACGTCATTACCCTGCGGTAAAAGGGCACTGGGATAACACGTCATCTGCTTCTTCGTCTGAAGCTTGCGTCCGAAGCATGGCAAGGAAACTAGAGGACGCAGTGTCTCGTTCCCTTCTCAGGGAACCATGGTTGCATACGTAACCTAAGACGTTCCCTTCCGAGGGAACTTCGAACTGCGTCCTCTAGAGGTCGCTATGGGGAACGGTACACCCACGCTGCCATGCTGAGGGGAATGCATGCCAAAACTAAGGCGAGCACTAAGTACCAACTCAACCAAGTCAGTGGAGCTGCCCCTAGGACGTTTTGACAGCTATCAGTGACATAACCCCCTACGGCCAAAGGCCTGAGCTGTGCACCAAAGAACTTACCTGTAAGGGCTGGCTTGTATAAAGCCCGAGCCCAGGGCAAAGCTCAAGGCTTGGAATTAAAAATAAAAAGGATTCCTTTAAGCCAAGTACCAGGGCTAACATAACCCATATCCTGGCCTGTCACACAGGGACTACCTCCTGCTCTACGAAAGAGCTGCCCGAGGATCACAAGATACCCAGGGGACTTAGTAGCAACACCCTGTCTACAAAAGCGTGTACGCGGAGAGTGGGGCCCAAGGTAAAAACCGGGGCCAGAGCCAACTCCGAGAAAGGGGACGAGGCCAGCATCGCATCACCCTTACCATAAAGGGTTTTAAAAAATGTGCACAAAGGCTAGCGTGCACACCTACCATGAATATGGATAGAGAAGTGCACAGATAACTAGCGTGTGCACTTACCATAGATATGGATTTAGAAATACCGTAATGTACCAACAGGGATACATACAGTAGATTGAGTGGAGCCCAAGGTGAAAACCGGGGCCTAGCCAACTCAGAGAAAGGAAACGAGGCTGACAGCGTGTAACCCTTACCATACAGGATTTTAGAAAGTGTGCAGAATTCCTAGCGTGCACACTTACCACAATGTGGATTTTAGAAAGTGCACAGAAGCTCAGTGTGTGCACTTACCATAGCATGGATTTAGAAACACTGTTACTAAAGGGTAGCCAAAAAACTGTCCCTTAGACAGGCCTAGACCCTACGTGACTGGGACCCACTCAAGGAGTGACAATAATTCAGCGGGAGGCCGCATGCTTAGAGCACATGTAGATTGAAAAAGGTGTATCTCATAGAAAAACCCTCCATGTGAGGGGAGTATCGCCAACTCAACCATAACAGTCACAGGACAGACCTCAAATTGGGAGCAGTGTGCTCATTGGTGACCCTCTAGGTGATAGGAGCACTGCTAAGCTCGACCAACAAAGAGAGCAGCCTAACACGGAGGCAGAGAGAGGCCTAACAACCTGAGGCTGCTGCTCAATGGAGCTCCAAGGAGCGGAGGACCTGATGAGAGGAGACCTCAGACGCTCAATTGGGAGTGGCGTGCTAAACTCACCAACAAAGAGAGCAGCCTAACAGGGAGGCAGAGAAAGGCCTAACAATCTAAGGATGCTGCTCAATAGAGCTCCAAGGAGCGGAGGACCCGATAAGAGGAGACCTCAGAAGCTCAATTGGGAGTGGCGTGCTCAAAGGTAACCCTCTAAGGTGAGGAAAGCACTGCTAAACTCACCAACAAAGAGAGCAGCCTAACAGGGAGGCAGAGAGAGGCCTAACAACCTGAGGCTGCTGCTCAATGGAGCTCCAAAACCGTAGGACCTGCTTTTCCCTGAGAGGAGGCCTCAGACGCTCAATTGGGAGCGGCATGCTCAAATGTAACCCTCTAAGGTGAGGGGAGCACTGCTAGGCTTGACCAAATAGGGGCAACTAATCAGGGAGGCAGAAAGCGGCCAAACTACCTGATCACAGAGCTCAAAGAGCGGAGTGCTCGACCCTTAGCTAAGGGAGAGGAACCCAGCTTGACCGAAGTGATCAATAGCCCAGGGGCAAAGTACCTAACTCTCAAGTAGAGAGAAGGACTCGTTATACTGCGGACCTGATCGGCTAAAAGGGCTCTCGCAGAAGTCCCGCAACTCGGCTGCGTGGTCCAGAAAGCATGAAGCCGAAGATGCAGGGCTATCATCCAGCCTGGATCCAGTACCGACGGGTGAGCTACCATCACCATGATCGGTCAACAGCGAGAGGTTCTGACTTTAGCAGGGGAGGTGCTCACAGAGGTCCTAACCTTAAAACACAGTCAGAAAACAGGCTCATAGCTAACCCTCGCAGTGAGGGGAGCATTTCTCACCTCGACCAGAAGGCAGTGCTAGATTAGAAGGGCAGTCTAGCAGGGCCCAAAGAGAGACCATCAACTGATGCAGCTGAACACAATCCCATGCTCTCTATCTCAATAGAGAGCATGGGTCCCGTTTAACTAGACCCGAAGATAACCTGAGAAACAACGGGACCCATTAACCCATCCATGCATGAAGAGCTACTGCTCCTCGGAGCCGAAGCACTCAGGAAGGGTTTCCGCAGAAACACATCTCACTCATACCTCGGAATTGGCCGGGGCAGCTTCTTGAAGCAAACACCCAGCCAGGACATCAGGAAGCACATCACAAAGCATTATACTCCGAAAAATGCTCACCCGAATGGAGGACCCGCGGGTCCTGAAGTTTCAGCGTTATACTGCGGACCTTATCGGCTAAAAGGGCTCTCGCAGAGGCCCCGCAACTCGGCTGCGTGGTCCAGAAAGCATGAAGCCGAAGATGCAGGGCTATCATCCAGCCTGGATCCAGTACCGACGGGTGAGCTACCATCACCATGATCGGTCAACAGCGAGAGGTTCTGATTTTAGCAGGGGAGGAACTATACACATAAGAACAAAAGGAAATTACTGATAGGGAGAAATTTCCCGTCAGGTCCTTTCCCTGTTCTGCCCATCAACCGCGAATCGCGGCAATGGGCAGACAATTCTCACCGCGACCGCAACGCGTTCAGCATGCATTCAGCTCCCGCGGGAGCTAAACACGCTCCGCCCAAGCGCTAGATTACCTCGGAAATCAAGCGAGAACGGGAACCGCTGCCGCAAATGCGTCACTATTCCCGCGAGAGGCGAACGCACTCATGCAAACGCTATCTACAAACTTGGGTAAATGGTGAAGTACTCACCTCCCCCTCAGTAGTGGACCTACTCATAGCGACCTCTAGAGGACACAGTTCAGAGTTTCCTCAGAAGGGAACTATGAAGCAGAACAACTGTTCTTAACATTGAAAATAATGAGCAGCAAATCAACATATTAAAATGATTTCTCATGTGTCTCATGATGCTGAAAATTCAGCTTTGATCACAGGAATTAATTATATTTGTAAAAAATATTTAAAATAACAAACTGTTATTTTAAATTATAATAGTATTTCACAATATTACGGTATTTTTTGTATTTTTGATCAAGTAAATGCAGTCTTGGTAAGCAGTATAGTGTATATCGGGTAAAAGAAAGTCAATGCAGGTTTGAGGGTGAATAAAGATGAGAGAATGTGAACTATCCCTAGAAAGAAAAATCTTTAGTCGTTCAGAATTGGAAAAGCCAAATTCCTGTCCTCTTCACACATTTCAAACATTTACCAAATTGTCTCTGACCCTTCCAGACTCTTCCAGCTCCCAGATGGTCCTGATGACATCAGGACTGGGTGAGAGCTTTTTGGCAGAGACTGAGATGTGAAACTGGAGCTGCTGATGCTTTGTGCTTGCACTGTACAACTACTGCGAGACCACCAGATAGTGTGCAACCTCTCACGCCGCATGACCTGTAGCACTTAGCGCAAGACAGTTCAAAGCTGGAACAGAAACCTTAAACACCAAGTGACTTATAATACGCAATAGTGAATTATTTATTTTACAGATGTACAGTCTATTTATAAATATACTGTATTTAACCAATAACAGTATACTCTGTTAGATGAGCTGTATAGGGTTGATGTGATGGCCTGATGCCTGAATAAATCGGTTTACACCTTTTTAAATGCGTTTTGCTCTGCTTTTTTTGTTCTTGTTGTGTGTACAAACAGGGAATAACTGCTAAGATAAACCAGCCAAATATATATACATTATTGCATATATTGTTCTTATATACACACACACACACACAGTCAAACCAAAATTTATTCAGACACCTTTAACATTTCCCAAAGCTCGCTGTTTTTGGAGATCCGTTTTTCTTATGAAATCAGCTGTAGAGTCTGTAGTTTTTGAGTATTTAAGATGCAGTTATAGCATGAGGGTATTAAAAGCATTTGTGCAGAGTGAATAATTCAGTCCACCATAGAGTGTGGTTCACAAGCTTTGTGCAGCATACAGCCAAAATGTATTTACACAAAATCTAGATTTACAACCCTCTTTTATGACGAGAACGGCCAGAGCATATCATGTTGCAACACTATGTGAAGCATGCATTACTGTATATGCATTACATTATATAATGTATTATGTACATACATTTAACAACAGGATATTCATCATCTCCATGTATTTGCTCTAAAATGGCTTTTAATCATCCCTAATTGAACACCTTAATCAACTAATCAAGGCCTTCAGAATTACTAGAAAACTATGTGCGTTATGACAGATATTTTGTTCATTCTGGAAAAAACATTAGTCGCCAGGCATATGTATATAAACACTGGTCAACATTAATAACTGTTGCATAAAGACAATATTTAACTTGCAATCATGCTGTTTGTCTGAATATTATGACATTCAGTACATCAACACTTGTTTGTGTGATATTACGTAAATATATTGTGTTCAGTCAGAGTTAGAGACTGAATAAAGAATTTATATATATACAGAGTTCTGGCATGAAACTCTAGATGGCGCAGTCCGATAGGTCTAACTCAATCTGACCTGGTGACATTATCACATGGCACAGCTGATTGGTTCTCTCCTGCATCGGTAGTCAATGAGCTCACTGCTCATATATATATATATATATATATATACAGTGCTGCTTGAAAGTTTGTGAACCCTTTAGAATTTTCTATATTTCAGCATAAATATGACTCAAAACATAATCAAAATTTCTGAAAGTAGACCAAGAGAACCCAAACAAACAAGCATTTCACTGAATGAAAACACCTCTGGACAGATGGACTCTTAATTTCACCTTGAAATTAACTGCTGATCCTAGAGATTCACATACTTTTGCACCACACAGATATATAACTGGAGAATTTTTCTCAATAAATAAATGAAAAAGTAAAGATTTTTGTCTCATTTGTTTGATTGGGTTGTCTTTGTCTATTTTCAGGACTTGTGTGAAAACCTGATTATGTTTTGGGTCATATTTATGCAGAAATATAGAAAATTCTAAAGGGTTCGCAAACTTTCAAGCGGCACTGTATATATGCAACGTTGAACATTATAACCAATCACACGTTTCCTTTGAGCTTATGAATGCAATGCAACTGCTGTAAACGCTGCAGTTGAAGTTTTATAATAATTAATTATAAAAAATTATTATTATAAAGTAATTATAAAAAAAAAGGTCTTTACCAATGAAAAAAAATGCCCCTGGAAATTGTGTCCCTCGATGCAAAAGTTCATTTCTGACCTTGCACATTTATTTTGCTTTCAGTTATTTTTAGGTACTATATCTACTGTTCGACTTCCATAACTTTGAATAAGCAGCTCTCTATTTCCGATCAGGGATCGAATAAGGAAATGGACACCAACACCAACCTAATGTCTATCTCCTCTCTCATTCAGCAGCTGCCAGGAAAGGCAAATAATAAGGAAGTAGATCGTTGTCTATAATTAATGAAAGGCCTCCAATCTATCTACCAAGCTGCTAAAGAACTGAGACAAATGGAAGGCCAATTTTCCAGTGGGCAATGCTGTAATGAATCCTCTTCTCTGACAGGAGTATGCTAAAGGATTCAGCATGATGAAATACTCATTAGTCTGATCTGGAAGGAACTGAAATGAGATCTGAGCCAGGACACGTAGTGCACAAAAATGCTGACCGAGTCTGGAATCATCTCAAGTCTTTCTGCAGGTTACGTCCGTATCTTTAGTCATTGAATCACCAATGGTCGTCGAAAACACGGATTCATTCAGGAATCAAACACAGCACTGTGAGCATTTCGAAGACGCGACGATTAATCCTGCTATTGCTTTTCCCTTGGCTGAGCAAAAACAGTAAGTAACTGGCGATATTAATGTCTAAAATGTATGTTATTCCAAATTAATTTATTGTATATTTAACAGTTGCGTAAAAACAGGGGCGTTTCGAATCTTTCACACACTTTGCTTATATGTGCAGGATAGTTTCGAATACTGCTCCGGAGATTTAGTGTGCGTTAAGGGCACTGCGTTTTGGCGTTTTTAAGACCTGGTACAGTCTTGTGCACTTACTTCCTGTCCAGTGCATGCGCTCTCAATTGGCCAAGACCGCAAGTGTGGATATTTGGACTTTACGTCATAAGTTTTTATTTCTATGAGTCCGTCTTGGACTTTCTGCTCGAGGGCGCCCTCCTGCTTCGAGTATGACTGAAACATACAGTGCATGAGAGTGTTGAGCGCGCCGTGATGTTCACATGACCTCAGTCCTGATTCAAATAAAACATCAGGTCATGCACAGACCCAAATCATCATAATCAAACTAAACAAAATGAATTGCAATAACAGTATAGGGAACCCATAACAACTAAAAAAACTAAATTGTTCAAACGTTCTTTAGATAATAACAAATGAGATTTTAATTAGATTTAGACCACTGAAATAGGATTTTCAGAAACCTGGTCGCCTTATTCCAGTGTCATTCGCGTTTAGTAATTTTATCTGTACAAAAATAATCCATTAGACTGCTTAATACTGCAAACTGGCATTTGATGTCATATTAGTTTAAGCTCTTATCGTAGTCATAAACACACTGGTTAGTAGAGCAAATAGTGTTACCAATTATTGCATTTTTCTTCTATTTATTTACCTATAGTGGTTAATGAAGTGGAAGTCTAACACATTCACAGAAAATATGTCTGCATTGCAAAATAAGTTGGAAATGATAACCGCCATAATCAGATGAAAATATTTATCATTAATATTCCAGTAAGGGTCTAGCGACACCCCTGCATACACAATCATTATCACATTCGCCATCGTGCATCGTTCGTGTGTGAATCTGAAACTGTGCTGATATTTACCATAACAGCACTCTTGCTTGTGTGATTTCGCAAAAATGCAAGGATGTCATTTTGTGAATCTCACAATGCAATGCAGATTTTACAAAGAGGCATTCAGGCTATTAGAACAGGTAAAACCAGCAAATCTGCGCCCTGAACAAGCTCTGTTGCCAGTGTCAAAAGTGCAAAGAGGGCAAAAGCCTGTTTAAATGTAAGAATGAAAAGATAATAATATGGCGCAATGGACTACGGATCAGAAGATTCTAGGTTCGACTCCTGGCTGGCTGGCTGGCTGGCTCGCTCAGCAAAGCTTTTGAATGACTTGCGCACAGCACACCAGCGGGTCACCTTGGATTAAAGATGATGTGCACGTCTCTTATGCGTGCAATTAAATTTGAGTTATTAAAGTTGCATGAGAGCAGAGGAGAAAGTCCTATTTATGCACTCAGTGTATTGCACATTCTGACCATTGTCGTGTCTTTTTTGTATTTATTTGCATGACCTGCGGCCCGTGTAACATCTGACGAGACTGAAATATTTAAGAGATTCTATTTCGTCATGCGAGACCCTGATGGGCTGTACTCTTGTCTCTTTAAAGCATCACAAAACTATTTTAGAACATGATAAAATATTAATTATTCAGCATGGTGGGTAGTTACAATTCAATTAATCATGGGCTATTAATGGTACTCCCATATATTGCAGAGCAAGACTGATAACTACATACGAAGACCAAAGTGTAAGACAAGAAGAGTAAGTGTGGACTTGGGAGCACATTCTGCCCTTCACTGAGGAACATATAGCTGAATTATTCAGGGCAAGGAGTGCTGTGGCAGACCAGCTATGAGGTGAATATATACAGCAAGCGTTTTACAAAAGTCTGGTGTCCTTCCAGGAATACCGTTAAAATGTAATACATGCTTCTGTACCTTCTGACTCACTGATATGTTCATAAATAAAAGACAAATCCTAAAAATCGTAAGTACACAACATACTCTTATGCATGAAGAATACTGTTGCGTATCACCTGTAGGGTAAATGTCTCAAATCAGTAAGGGTGGAGAGTATGCTGTCCAGATACAAAAAAAACACACAAAAAAACCCACCAATTTTTAAAGTACACTAAAAATTGGTGGGTTTTTTTGTGTGTTTTTTTTGTATCTGGACAGCATACTCTCCACCCTTACTGATTTGAGACATTTACCCTACAGGTGATACGCAACAGTATTCTTCATGCATAAGAGTATGTTGTGTACTTACGATTTTTAGGATTTGTCTTTTATTTATGAACATATCAGTGAGTCAGAAGGTACAGAAGCATGTATTACATTTTAACGGTATTCCTGGAAGGACACCAGACTTTTGTAAAACGCTTGCTGTATATATTCACCTCATAGCTGGTCTGCCACAGCACTCCTTGCCCTGAATAATTCAGCTATATGTTCCTCAGTGAAGGGCAGAATGTGCTCCCAAGTCCACACTTACTCTTCTTGTCTTACACTTTGGTCTTCGTATGTAGTTATCAAAGTGTAAGACAAGAAGAGTAAGTGTGGACTTGGGAGCACATTCTGCCCTTCACTGAGGAACATATAGCTGAATTATTCAGGGCAAGGAGTGCTGTGGCAGACCAGCTATGAGGTGAATATATACAGCAAGCGTTTTACAAAAGTCTGGTGTCCTTCCAGGAATACCGTTAAAATGTAATACATGCTTCTGTACCTTCTGACTCACTGATATGTTCATAAATAAAAGACAAATCCTAAAAATCGTAAGTACACAACATACTCTTATGCATGAATAATACTGTTGCGTATCACCTGTAGGGTAAATGTCTCAAATCAGTAAGGGTGGAGAGTATGCTGTCCAGATACAAAAAAACCCACCAATTTTTAAAGTACACTACTGCATGAAGTACTTGACCCAGGGTGGGACATCTGGATAATGACTGGTCAACAGACTAAAACTTACTGCAAATAAAAAGCACAACGCAAGCACTTAAAAAGGCAACACAGAGTTGAATTGTCTCTAAAATATATTTATCAAAACAAAAGAATGTGGATGCTTGTAGTCGTTGCATCTGAAACGTATTGTTTGAGAAAAGCTGATAAATGTTAAAATGCTATTTGAACAAGGCTTGAAATGAAACGACTGAAATTTATGATGGGAACACTCAGCACAGAAAAAACAACAACTTGTAGAAAGTATCTGCTGGACAGATTGATCATCCATAATCATGAGGAATCAGATTTACACACAAAAATACACACAGAAAAACACACCAAATGATGGCGGGATGCACAGTCCCCTTAAAATACATACAGCATTAGCATCAGCTAAAGAATGAGGAACCAATGAAAACGGATGCTACATAAAGATGATTACATTCGTTAAGATCAAAACATGGCTTTTCTTGAAATCAGGGTTTAAAAAGAACAAACAAACAAAAATCATCTAAATAATGTGTTCTTGTCAGTGCCACTCTAACAAAGGCATGTTTCTGGCTGAAATTTCAGCTTTTTAGCTCATTGTTTTTTATTTAGAAGTCAGTAATGTCATCATAACAGAGAGAAAGCTTTGCTAGGTTTTTGTGGTGTTTTTACACAGTACTATATGCATAGTTTTGAAATATTAATATGCCCTCTGAAAGACAATTTGTGCCGTCAGCAGCAAAGGGTCACATTAATACATCTCTGAATTGGAGGACATGAAATACCAATGACACATTTTAACGTTTCAGCCTTACTTGTAGAGGTTTTTTTACTCTTTAAATACTGACCTTTGAAAAAAAAAATTTGATTAAATATTTAAAATGCCAAACAGCACTATTTAGGTTGGATTTCTATTGTATTACAGTGTAACAACTAATGTGTAAAAGGGATTGTATACCTTCTCATTTCATGACAGGATTTAGTAACCTATTCACTTATACACACTTCTGCAATTGCTCAACTGCTTTGAGGGAAGTAATGGGACACTTTAGACCAGCAAAAGACAAATAAATACACAAAAAACTCTATATATTTACTTAAAATCATAATCGGTTTTAAATACTAATTAGTCAAACAAAACAGATGAGAATGAAAATCAGGAAGTATACTTGATCATTAAAACATATACCGAATACATCAAAATCAAATTATTAAAGTACAAAAGCTGTCTATAGCTTGGGTGTTGAAATACAGTGGTAGATCAATGAAGAGAGGTAACTGAAAATTGGAGGTGAAGGATCCTCTCAGTTTATGATGACTAAAAGCAGGCTAAAGGAACAAGATGTTCTTTTAAAGGGTGATGGAGAGCCCCCTCTGTCAGAGCAAGGGTTAGGCACTGGAAATTGACAAGAGAGTCCCATAGATTACATTTAATCTGCTTCAGCCAGCAGAATGCCTGACACAGTGGTATCTGTGAAGCTGTGGCCATTTGGTGCCATCCCAATCTCCCGTAACAAAGGACTTGCACTGGGATACTGGATAGATATCATTATCTGGGTAGAAAACTCTCACCCCAGGGCAAAAGCAAATGTCAAAACACCCATTATGTGAGATGTTCCATGTCCGTAGAGTGCCACAGGGATCCTTCCTAATGCTGCTCAATCTTGAACTCTTTCTCTTACAGAAGTGTAATTGTATGGCTATGTCCTACTGTTGCCCACTCGATCGTGTCACATCAAACAGAATCAAGTCTTGGACTAGGAATGTCTTTTATGACATTCTTGTACGATCCCTGAAGCACCGTCCACGGAAAGCCGGACTGACTGAAGTACTTCACCACGGATGCCATCAATACCATAAGGTTCCACAGATAAAAGAGCTCCAAGCTTCAGAGAGAGGACAGAAGAGTTACAATGATGCCTCAGCAACAGCAGCATGATCAGGGATAACTACAGCAACGCTGATCCGATCCCTTCCGCTTGTCGTATGCTGCTATGCCTAGAGATTGCTAGTAAGACGAAGAGCACTCAAGGTAAAAAAAAAGAGAAGAGTAAGCCTGGAAGTCTCAGTCCAGCAAGTTCCCATGCTCTTGAGCTCTGGTAAGGCTGTCTTTGCGGTGCAAGTGATGAACCCCCATTCTCTTGGGGCTCTTCAGAGGTCGTGAGGAGCCAGTCTGAGGGGGCTTGTCTGCATAATCCTCAAGGGCAGCTAGGACTCTTGAGCCGATGACAGGAAAGTCCTGGGGCAGGCTATCTCGCTCCTCAGCTGAACTTCCTGCAGATCCAGCATCTTCAGCAAACTCTTGACGCTTAGCAGAGGCTGGACTGCTCTCAATGGTGACCATGGTGTCACCACTAGCACCATCATTGTCAAGTGGATCAAGGGCCATCAGTAGGTGTTCACCCTCTTCCTGGGAAAAGTCACCACCGTATTGAGTCTTTTTTGCCCGGAGGTCTGCCACGCTGCTGGTGTCTGTATCCAAACTGGACTCTCTACTTGCTGTCCAGCTCTGGGCTGAGGATCCCTCCTCGCCATCAGAGTAAGCACCTCTCAAAGCCCCTACTCCTGATTTTCTGTTGTGACTTCTTTGGAGATCTTTCACCATCTCACTGCTGAAGGACGTGCGGTTGACGAGGGAGCCTTCTATGGATGGTGCAATTTTTTCTACAAACATGCGCTGCCAGTTGGTCAGTAGGTCCTCCTCTGAGCTACCAGAGCTTGCAAAGGCGCTCGGAGGCTGAGGGGGGCTGCTAAAGGGACTTGAATGACTGGAGAGGGTGTCCGTAGCATCCATCTGTGGAGGTGTGTGCTGGTGAGAAGCATGCCCTCCACCAGAAGATGAGGAGGTACCAGACCGCCAACCCCCATCAGACACAGCAGGGCTATTGGGCACGGTGCGCTGGCGCTCGGCTGCCTCCTCTTCGCTCTGCACAAGACTAAGAGAAATGGCCTGACGAGTAGCGTAGGTGCAATTGGGCAGTGGACTGTTCTTGGGAATCTTGACTTTGTCATCGGAGGAGAACTCGATCACTTTGCGACCAGGGTACAGCGGGTTTGGTGGTGGAGGTGCTGGGTAAGGATTCAACTTCTCAAAAGAAGGGGCTGCCCCATCTTCTCCTGTTGGACCATCCAGGCTGCCCTGGCTTCGACACATGCCATTTACATGCTGCTGATCAGAACCAGCTCCCACAGGAGGCCTGGCATGAACAGGACCCCCGTTTTCACGCCCTCCACTGTTGTCTTGGGGTCCTGTCATGTCCACGTGTACGAACACATCTTCAGCCACTGGCCGACCTGCACTGCTGCTAGACTGGGCTGAGTTGAGCACCAGGGGCTCCGGCTTCTCAAGAACACGAGCGATCACTGAAGTGGGCACTACGTCTGCGGGAGTCAGGCTTAGAGTGTCAGGATCCTGGGCTTGAGCTCCCTGAGAGCCCTGAGTCTTGTTAGGCAAGCTACTCTTCATGTGCTTGTTCACCATGTCCTGTAGCTCATATGGCAACTGCAAAACATTGTAGAGAAAATAAACACACAAACAAACGTGACAAAGGTTTACTTTTCCTGCAGTAGAGCTCATTTTAGAAATTGGTTTTCAAATGTTAAAATGACAAGTTATCCATCAACCTGAAAAAATCCTGGATAATGAGAACTTTATTGTAACCACCAGCAGGCATTCAAATGGCCTTATTTTGAATAGATAATCAGAGTTAATTCAGTTTCTAGGCATAAGACTTTTTAAGGACCAGCCTTAAAATATGAATGCATAATTCTTGCATGGAACACAAACTGGAAAAACACTAATGTTTACACTGTCTTTCTCATGCAATAGGCGCAACTGTGATTAGGAGAAATCAAGCTCCAAAAAGAACAAGACAGTACTATAAAATAGTCCATACAATTTTCTTCTGTGTTCCAAGAAAGAAAGTTTGGAATAACTCCAAGGTAAATAAATGATCTCAATCTTTTTCTTTTACCTTTCCTTTTTCTTGGGATCACATTAGTTGTCATGATATCTATGTAGCTTGCACATTTTGTGGATGAATCCTTTCTTGCAAGTAATCTTAAAAGGTGCAATTTCACTAACATGCACTGGGATATGAATAGGATGTTTGATGAAGCCTATCTACCATACTGCCCCAATGAAGGTTATCTCAGTCATGATCAAGAAAAACAGAAAATAGGGTTTTTCATTTAACACCATCCAATATCTGCCCGGCCTAGAAGAATAAAGAGTAAGCAGCTCACCTCAAATTAGATTATTACTGAAGAGGGGTGAGACAGACAGAAAGAGAGAGAGAGAGACTAAAAGAAAAAAGGCAGGTGATGAGGCCTTTATTTCATTCTGTAGTGACACGATTTAACAAAGCCAGGCCAAGTCATTGATTTGTGGAAAAAAGGCAGGGAAACTCAGTGATCACACAGCCCCGCTCAGCTTTATGTTGTAACGATCCTTTGGGGCAGCAATTACTCACAAAGCCCTTACTTCCTCTGAGTGTGGGGCATGGGAGAATTGATCTGTCCAGACCACACTTCCAAGCATGACCCCCTCATGGCCTTCTAGCTCAGAAATCTACATGACGCTGCCTAAATTAATTGTCCCAGAGGGCATTAGTATCCCATGACCACTGCAGCATCACATGCTAGTGTGGGAAGTCAGATGTTACACAAAGTGTTACAATACTCCAATCACTACGGTACGCAAAACAAGACTTCTTTCTCCCACAGAAAATGAGGACAGCTCCGATATCTTCACAGACCATTCAATGACCATCTGATGCATAAATGCACTAGCACGTAAACAATACTATACATCCTTGATCACCTGTTTTGTGCTTTCAGTGTTATATCCAATTTCATTCTTACTTGCCCCTGATCATTACATAAAATAAATGGAATTGTGGTTGGTAAAGTATACTTAAGTTTTGATGTGAACACTTAAGCCAAACACATAAGCATTCAAAGTAGACTCCATGTGTACACAACCACCTGACAAATGCGCACTAGAAAGTTAAATCTTTGTCCAGTGTCTAAGCTATTTCTCTACGGATGTTACGACTGAAAAAATGTCTTAAATCTGGAGTTGCGAATATCTCTTAACCAACTCGCACAAGGTCTCTGGTAGTTTGGTCGTTCTTCTGTCACTTCCATTTCTTTTTTAGATCGTGAAAAAGACCTGGGCTAGTGTTGCCACCTAGTGGGTCAAATAATTCAAAGTGTGCATGTGTGACCACTGTTAAAAATTGGGTTGCACATGTACAATGCTGATGACGAAATTTACATCACAAGCACTGTACATGTACAGTGGGTCATACATACGACTGAAAAAATGTCTTAAATCTGGAGTTGCGAATATCTCTTAACCAACTCGCACAAGGTCTCTGGTAGTTTGGTCGTTCTTCTGTCACTTCCATTTCTTTTTTAGATCGTGAAAAAGACCTGGGCTAGTGTTGCCACCTAGTGGGTCAAATAATTCAAAGTGTGCATGTGTGACCGCTGTTAAAAATTGGGTTGCACATGTACAATGCTGATGACGAAATTTACATCACAAGCACTGTACATGTATATCCTTGCATACACATAAAAACTGAAGTATACTTTAGGTTTCAATCTGATACACGGCTCTTGGACTGGACCTTATTCTGTAAGTCAAAAGTCTGGCTACAAGCTCAGCCTCTTAAATGGCACCAAACACATACAAAATTGCAATAGCACTTGCGTAACTATTTAGTGGTACCAGCATCTTCTTTAGTTAGTGGCATGCTAGTCGTCACCTTTCTAAGCTACCCTTACAAAGACAAGTTACAATTCTACTCATTTTTGCAGTGACCTACACTTAACCGTCAAAGACTGCATGCCAATTACTGTGCATAATTTCCATCTTTAGCTAAGTATAGGGAGAATTGGCTCTACATGAGAGCCACTATAACAACTCTCAGATTCCCAGCACTGGACTGAAACATAATGGCTCTCAAGTTCTCAAAGCACTTCTAAAGCTGTGATAGAATACACAAATGGCCTGTTTGATGCATATGCACTTCCAGTGCAGATCAGTTTGACATTCATTTGGAGAATTTGGAGAATGATGCTTCACAAGTGGATGCTTTACAATAGTGGCTTTATGTTAGCAGTAAGAGGATGAAAACAGGCAATGGCTTTGGCTCAGTCGAGCCTTAAAATAACCCAAGAAACAGTCTGTGGTCTCTGCTTACAGAGTAATGAATTACAGAGTTCACGAGAGCAGGGCAAGAGGATAATCTGGACAGTGAATCAAATATCTTCTAGGTTCCAGTGAACTCACTCCATCACTATAGTTCTCCTAGAGAGATCATAATTCTAGAGATTAGTCACTGCTGTCAATTCGGTAAATTAAAAAAGGATGAAGAAAGATCCTTTGTGAATTAATTGCTGCCAAGGAGGAAGATCCTGCGCCCACACTCTCTCACTCAGCCAATATGGTAAGTAGATTTAATGCCATCTTTCGCTGCATAACCTAAAAGTTTGGACAAACGTAACTGAATTTCTCATGCTCTTCAAAACATGGGGTCCTGCTAAAATATTTGAATTAGTTTAGAAAAGACGACTACAAATTGTGCCTATGAATTAATGTCTTTACAAAACTAAAATTGTTATATATAAATGTAAATTTTAAATGCATGAATTGGATCAGTAAAGGAAAAGCAGGCAACAAGTGTCCCAACTTCAATATTGTTGGAGTTGGCTGAGAGAATGATCATTTCAATTTTATACCAATCTCTACACACAAAAAAACTCATAAAAATAACTAAATATAAAAAAGGTGCTTAGAATTAATGCATTTAAAACAAGACAAGCGGTTCAAATAGCAAATATGAAAAAAGTGTTGCCCTCGATTTGGCCAGGACTTAATGTGGTTTGCAGAATAAAACAACAAGGGCAGACAGAGTGATAGATGGGTTTAATGTAGAGCGCAGGCCACAGGTGATAATGTCCTGATGTGTTCAATACCCATATGCCCATGGGGTCAAGCTGTCTTATCATACGTCTCTGTTCTTGCACACACAGAGCTGTCCATCAGCCTGAAATCTGTCCTATTTTCCCCCACGGACAGACACAAAGGCCAAACAGACGGATGTGTCTGGAGTTTGGCACCTTGTCAATACTGTGCCTTTTCTCTGCCAGCGAGACCGTCCGTATCCAAAGACCAGCCATGTCTCGCAGCACGACTGACACTCTCCATGCTAAACACTGCCATAAAGCACATCCTGCGGACATGGCTTTTTTTTTTTTTTAATCCTCACCCTCTCTCTATTCTCTTGGTCTCTTTCTCTTCATCTCTCTCTCTGACTATTCCTCTCTGATCCCAGTCCATAAAATCAGAGGTCCATGTCCATAACAATAAAGTCACTAGGCAATCGTGCACTCTCTCTCTCTCTCTCACTCTCAGCACCGTCCACGAGTGTCACTGCGGATTGCAAAACACATTCAGACTCCAACAAGTCCTGTGCTGCAGGGATAGTTCAGACAAAAATGAAAATGCTGATATCATTTACTCATCCTCATGTCATTCCAAACCGGATTTATTTTCTGCAGAATGTGCCAGCTGTTCTTTTACATACAATGAAAGTGGATTGCAAGCTTTACAGCCAAGCTTTTATTAAATATGTAATATATATTACATATTTAAACTTCAGGAGATCGTTTTTGACAGTTGTGTTGCATACACACATTGACTTTGGGTTTGGTCTGTTCTAGCTATACTGTAGAATGGCTTCAGAATATAGGGTACAGGATAGATGGACAGCTGTTTTTGGAGCATGGAAACTACAACAGTTATCAGCTTTTGCTGTATAGAAAAGTGATGCTCACACAATGTGCTTAACAACATAAGCTTTTGTGCTTTACAAAAGTCAGAGGGGATCGAAACAAACATGAGGGTGAGTAAATAACAGAATTAGATTGTTTGGTGAACGGTTCCTAAAAATGTTGGAGGGGGTGTGCTTTAAAACTGAGAAACAGTTACTACTACTTACATCAGCAAACTTGTGATTCCTGAAATGCGATTTATTGCACTTCAACAGCTGCACAGCCAAATTGCAATCTTGCCGATACCGTTCCTGCATGACGAGAGAAAATGGATATAAGAACAAGCGTCAGGGAAACAGATATGAGAACACATCAAATAAAGAAGAGAGTCATCAACATCAACTTTTTGGAATGACACTTTACTTACATTGAACTGAAATGGTCATTTATGAAAGAAGAAAAGCAAATACACACAGTACGAGTCAAAAGTTTGGACCTATGCATGTTTCACAGTCTGTTGAGTTAAAGGCTTGAAATTTGAAATCAGTTTTGTAAATGAATATAAATGGTGCTTACAAATTATTATTTTTTTTAAAAATGTGAACTCGTAGCTTATTTTAATGTCCAATTTTTGTCAGCATAAAAAAGACGTGTGCATAATTTTTAAGCAGGTTTTCTTTTACAGGTAAAATGCACCAAAAAGAAGATTTAACTCTCACTAAAAAGTAAAAAAAAAAAAAAATATATATATAATATATATATATTAAATGTCCATGAGAAATATTCAAAACTAATGCAATACAGAAATTGCAAGCGAAATATATATAAAAACCCTAGTGGGCTCTGGACCCCTGGTTGAGAACTACTGCTCTAATATGTAAAAAAATACAAAGTAATAACAATCTTAAGTATGAGTAGTTCTGTGTCCAAACCTTTGACTGACACTTTATAAGTAAAACAAGGAAAATGGCACCCAGGGTAGCAGTCTTCAGGATTCATAACTAAAAAGCCTATAAAGGGAAAAAATTGTCCTAACATCAACCTCAGAGGAAATTGATGTGTGCTCTATCTGTCTAAGGAGATGAAGCGCTCCGTTTAAACACTGTGAACAGACGACTATCAGTTTCTCCAGTGCTATAATTAGTTCCCTGTGGCACTGTTTCATACATGTGGTGTAATAAAGGCACATTTCAGAACGACCTGCATTCTGGTGCTATTCTGGTTATTCCTTGTGGAGTTACTTAAAATCTTAAAAAACATTATCAGAATACCAATCTGTCGGTTAATTCACAGTCCTGTGTGCGAAGCGAATTTGAAAAGAAGAATAGTGTTTATATAATTTGATAATCCGCCCTTCCTCATGCAACCAGATCATAGTTTTTTTTTAATCTAAAAATGCTAGCCTTGTGGGAAGTGCATGTTGAGTGGTGTTGTTTATGTGCAGTTGATTCAACTTTGAATCTTAAAATCAGAACGAAACGAATTAGGAGACTTTCCCGTGTTCCCAGTAAAGCTCCAAAAGCCAGACATAATTTCTGGAATCTGACAGTAGACTTCTGTGAAATCTCAGCAAAGATCCTCTTCATGCAACTTTCAATTTTCAGCTCCAGTAGTTATCAATCCCAGTAACACTGCAGCTCTGACAACTAGAGTCCAAAACGTGCCTCAAACACAAACAAAGCTCTGCTATCGCACGTACATTCAGTTCCTCCAGCTTGTCGATAGTGTTTTTGGCATCCACAAGTTTATTTGTGAGCTCCACTATCTCTTGATCCATGGTTTTCTTGTCTCTTTCCACTTTACGGAGCTGTAAGGAGAAAAAGGACATTCATATAAACTTTAACGTAAAAGGTCTCAGATGAGGTTCAACCTCTCTCTCTTAATACAAAGAACACCAGTAGCCATTTTTGGTTTAGGGGGGAAAAAAAACACACAAAAACATGTTTTCCTTCAGTCCTAAGTACATAGCTGACAATGCACCAGCTGCAAAGAAATAGTAATTAATAATAATTGTATAACATGAATGCACTGTAAGTCGCTTTGGATAAAAGCGTCTGCTAAATGCATAAATTATTATTCATTATTATTATAATTCAAAGAGCCTGGAAATGTGGTTGAGGCACAGTCCATGGGGAAAACAAATAAAGCAGGTAAGGAAACATATTGACTGAATCTCATTGAAAATAAGCATCACTTTCCCTTGGCGTGTCTCATTCTCTGTATCTCAAACATTTCTGTCCAATTAGCTCTGTCTTTGATAAAACAACTTTACTTACCCTCTTGTGTTTTCAAACTCAAAATCTATTTTATTTTATTTTTCATACAACGACAGCTCATACTGATCATATCTGTCAAGCTCCAGAAAGAAACAAGAAGTCCATATACACTACCATTCAAAAGTTTGAGGCTGGTAAAGATTTTCATTGTTTATTGTTACAAACTTGCTCTGCAGCAGTAGCAGCAGCAGCGTAGCAGATCTATTCCGCCAAGACCAAATACATTAACATTGTCATGTACATTACCATGTTAATCCCTCAGAGAGTTTGAGTTTTTTGAATTCCTGTAATGCAACGGCTGAATTTTCTTTGATGCAAAGCTTTCAGTATCACATGATCCTTCAGAAGTCATTCTAATACGACGATTTGCTGCTCAAGAATAATTTCTTATTATTATCAGTTGTTGAAAACAGTTGTGCTGCTTAATATATTTTGAAAACCGTGGTATATTTTTTTCAAGACTCTTTGATGAATAGATAAAAAGTTGATAAAAACCAATTTAAGAATAGCATTTGAAATAAAATTTACTTGGTAACATTATAAATGTCACTTTTGATGAGTTTAATGCATCGCTGCTGAACAGAAGTATTAATTTACTGACCCCCAAACTTTTGAAGGGTAGTGTAAGTCATAAGATAGCTTTGTATGAAAACATTTTAAAATTATGGTTATTCACAGTCATGATCTTCACTGAACTGGAACAGTGTATATGAATAATGAAGAACTTCAGTTAGTTTTCTTATACAGCAACATCATATTCCGTCAGAGGACCTGAAACATAATGCACACATCATATAGAATATTTTTATGCTACTTTTACTTTTTTTTTTGTCTCAGCCATGGTCAGTATAAGCTGTTGTTGAAGATTTTTCAAAAAATTGTCCTTTGTGTTTTATGGAAAGAATAAAAGCATCAGACAGCCAGTGATTGTGGGCTGTCTGACTGAGGTTGAGACTACAGACAATTACCACTCCAGCTATGTCTATACGCATAAAATGTCTTCTGTCTGACTTTCTGTCTGAGTTCAGTGGTTTTCTAATTCAGGAGTGAGAGTGCTGTCTGAAGACACTTCACTCCTGCTGTGATGGCAAAGTCCGAAATGTCTTTGTACTAAAATGTCTGAACAAAAGCTCTTGAAAGAACTTTAAAGAGGACATACTTAACAGAAGCTTTACTACTTAAGACACACTTCAGCCCTGCCGGCTCTTGGTTTAAGTGGAGACAGAGTGATACAAAGAGAGACACTGAGAAAAAGTAGACAGAAACTGTGACCCTTAATCTGGAACTTGGCATGTCCATAACAAAGCAATTATCTTTATAGTCACTGTTTGACTGAAGTGGACAATGTGGACCAATAAAAGAGTGTTAAGGAGCCTTTCAACACAATGCAGAGTCCACATGTAACAACGGCAATGCAACAGCCAGTATAATGCACAGCACATCTGACGGAAACAGGGATAGAAAGGAGGGAATTTTATCACATTAACAGCTGCATTCACATCATCCAAAGTTGTAGTCAAGTGGTCAAAATGCCAACAGTGTCTGCGCTTTAGTGCTACTCTAAAAGGTTTCATAATTGACTAAGAAATACATAATTTATTTAGGAAATATATGCCCGTATAATATAATGTGTCTGTCCACCTGCAAAAGATGCAAAACTATAATTTGTAGCTATTGAAATATCGTTATATCGTGAATATTGTTAATTAACAACAACAAAAGTTTCCGCTGACAGCCCATTTATGTGAGCAAAACAGAGCTAAGTAAATAGTAGGGCTCCAAAAGTAAAAGTCCCATTCTTTTTTTTTCATAAAGAAAAAAAATCATCAGTAAACTTTTAAAGAAAGTCCTAACATGAAAAATATTCATAATCATGTGTAATTACACAGTTCCCCATGAAGTACTACACTACCCATAATCCTAAAGCGAAATCAACCAATCATGGCAAAGCATTACATTCACTGTACACTCCCATAAAGATCTGACAATCAAACTTCTCTACACTCTCAAACTATTTTTATGTTTGAGTATTTTGTAATAAACATTGTCTTTATATATTGTTTTTAAACAATGTTTTAACTGTTTCCAAACTTAATCAGTAGTTTTATAATTCATCACTGCTGAAACTGAAGGTCTTCACAACAACCTGTCAAAATAAAAGCTTTAATTTGAAGAAACTGTGACAGAAATATGGTTTGGGTTGGTAAATGAAAGTGAGCGGTCTGACTGTTGAGCTTTGCCGTGATTGGTTGATCTCTCTTCAGGATTAGGGGTAGTGTAGTGCGTGGCCACTGTTATTGAACACTTCACTAATGGACTTAGAAAAGGGATTTTATTACTCACTTTCACACAGAATGGCCCAACAAATAGTGTTTCTATCTTGGAGTGGCCTTAAATGCTGTAAAATATCATTTGTAATTCATTCATACTCATGAATATTTTATTTTCTTACAGTGTTTGCTGTGCATTTTAACCACTGTGTTAAACATTTGGACTGCACTTTATGGCGTGACATCTATCCCAGAATCCCCCTGTCCACATGCACAGACACGGGCATGGCCACAGCTATATCCAGCCATCTACTACAGGAAGAGAGGAGAGGAGACAGGAAGGAGATGCAATGACTCATGGGAATGATATCTACAGCGATACTTATTGGGAGAGCAGAGACAGACAGAAGGAAATGGATAAATAGAAAGAGAATGAGAATGAGAACGCAACTGCGTAGACCCGAGTTTGACTGATGGCAGCCTGATGATGGCGAAGATGATGATGAAGAATATGGTGAAATACCCAAAGTCACAAGGCAGCATGAGGGGAGAGGAAAGGGAGAAGAAAGAAAGGAAGAGAAAGATAATTTTGCGCTTATTCATATATTTCCATGAACCTGCATGTCTGCAAGTATTAAATGAGAGAAAGACAAGTACAGACAAGAAAGAAAAGAGGACAGAAAGATAGAAACTAGTCATGAGAAAGACAATATATTTGCACACTTCTGGATCACCACTTTATCATTAGTTAGAAATGATTAGAGCCTGACCGATATATCATTATGCCGATATTGTCAGCCAATATGAGCCTGTCACAGATATATCGGTATCTGCGAATATGTCACCGATATGAACATTTTTTTACAGCGCATATAACGCATATTAAATGCTTCTGAATGGTGTAATTACTTAGTTTGTCCAGCAGAGCACGCTCCATTGCTTGCTACTGGTCAGTGTAGTGTAGAGATGCGTGGATGAGCTCAAACTTCACCCGAGTCCGCTGCTTCAAATAAATTATCCGCCCGCCACCCACCCGCACTTATATTTGATCGTGATTTAGATATCCGCCTCGACCCGCACCTGCAACCGATCATCACATTACAAAGATTCTAATTCTTAGCAGATTAAATGCTTCTGAATGGTGTAATTACTTAGTTTGTCCAGCAGAGCACGCTCCATTGCTTGCTACTGGTCAGTGTAGTGTAGAGATGCGTGGATGAGCTCAAACTTCACCCGAGTCCGCTGCTTCAAATAAATTATCCGCCCGCCACCCACTCGCACCTATATTTGATCGTCACATTACAATGATTCTAATTCTTAGTTTTGCATGATGATATGATGAATGGATGGTTAATTTTTAACAACAGATTCAGTGGCATTAGAGCTGATCTGCGCATCACTGCACACGTCTGCGGCGCAACCGGCTCCACGGCCACCGGAGCTGATCTCTGCTGTCAATGCTGGTGTTTATACCGGCCGCGCCGCGGCCCACAACTCATGCTTATCACATCGGTCACATCACATTTCCTAACTGGACGCGAGCGGCGTGACAAAATACAATAGAACCCATTATAATCAGTGATGTTGTCTACACTGGATGCGGCGCGATGCGACACGACAAATATTTTGTTCTATTTGTGTTTAAGTTATTTATAATAAGTGAACTTTACTGTTAAGTGCAATGATGTCAGACTCATTTTGAATAATAAAGTTTATTGTTAAATTGTTAAATACCCTGCCTCCATTACATAGGCCTGTTTGTCACATCATTTTAAGTGTTTGATCACCACATTTGAGTTATCATTGCAAAAAATGTTTATGTATATATATTCTGTTTATGTATATACTGTATTCTATATACAGTACCAGTCAAAAGTTTGGACACACGAATGGGAAGTTATTCCATAATATCGGTATCGGCCCCCAAAAAACCCATATCAGTCGGGCTCTAGAAATGATTATCCTGTAAAACTTAACTACAATTAAACCTATTAAAAACTGTTTTTGGTAAGTGAAGTTGAGCTGAAATAAAACTAGACAGAAACATTTATCAAAACAAACTTTGATGTTGGCTTGAGAAAGACTGACCAGTAGTTGAGAATAGAGTAGATATATTTTATAGTTTTGATTTTGAAGAGAGATAGAGAGAGATGAATTCTGCACTTAATTTCAAACAAATTTCAATTCTCTCTCTAGGCTTTTCAATCATTGTTGAATATGCTGTATTAACCAACCAGAAACGCGGTTGCAAATCTAAACTGAAAACAGATTTCCACATTCTTGCTGCTTGCTGATTGTATTTGGAGATGATTTCGCTAAACCAGTACTCTGAGTGAGCTCATGTCCTGAGAGCATCTATGGTAAGACATGATGGGCCCTTCACGAGGTGGAACAGGTCGGCCGGGATAATCCCCGTGTCCACGACGAGAGATTACTGAGCAGAATGCCACCTGTTTCACCAGTGATTGGCAAAGCTTTATGCAGAGGTCATGGATATGAGATCTCACCATGCAGAACTAAGACACCGCTGGGATTTAATTGAAAATGAACAAAAATCATCAAGAGCTAATGCTATCCTTATACACACATGGAGTCTTCAGACGTGATTAAGAGAGAGCGACTCGTTCTGAAGTTTTCCAGTCATGCTAAATTACTCTAGAGATAATTTTGCAGACCACCTAAGAATGATAAAAGATTCCTAAAATAACTTATTATAGATGCATGTTTGATTCAATTTTCATTTGAGCGAAACTGGAAAAAGGCAGTCGGGGGAAAATTTAGATTCATATTGGCTTTAATAAAACATGGAATCCTTTAACAATTTATTACAACAACCAACAGCAGTTTCCAAAGATATTTTAATGAATGCATCACACTGAACACAGGACGCCCGGTTTCTGTGATGCACAATCACATTCAAATAATCTTTAAATCGCATTCATCCTAATTGATTAACATTGTCGGGGGATGACTGCAGTCTATGACAGTTATTATGATGTATTAGAACATCCAGTGGGAATTGTTTTATACTCCGTGAAGAAAAAGAGGCTTAGGGACAAATTTGTACATTTATTCAATCTTTAGCTTTCGATGTTGTTCTTTTTTTTTCCGCTCTCGATTGTTCTCAGACAATTACTTTGGCTTTGTTTGAGTGCTAAAGCACAGAAAATGTTCATCCAAACAAAGCTTTTATGAAAAAAACATGCTGAGTTCTGTCTACTACCAAATCGCCTAACTGATCCATCAGCATGGCCTTAACTGTAACAATTATGACCACAACCAGAGTGGTCATTCAGGGCCCTCTGCATTTCTTCTTTTTTTTTTTTTTGAAAGAAAAACATAAACGGCAAATCAATAATTTTAAAAGGGAGCGGAATCTGCTTTGATTTCTTGTGACTGAATTTCAAACAGTACTGGAGTGGCAAATGAATGACAGCACGACAACACTGAAGTATCATGGGTCTTTTCCTGTAGAAATGTTTTATAATTTAAAAATGAATACATTTAACATTAATGCTTGAAAGTCTTTGATGCACTTAAAGGGACAGTTCACCCAAAAATGACCATTCTCATCATTGTTTCAATCTCAAGTCATTCCAAACATGCATGACTTTCTTTTCTGTGCAACATAAAAGGTGCATTATTGATGAAAATCCTGGTCACTCTTCAAATTTATGTAAATTCATCCTCTACTATAGGAGAGGAAGAATTGTATAAACTTGTTAAATCATCTAAACCAACAACATGAATGTTAGACCCTATTCCATCTAAGCTCCTAAAAGAGGTGCTTCCAGAAGTCATAGATCCTCTTCTAATGATTGCAAAGATACTATTTAGACTGAACTGAGCTGGATGATGACATCGCTGAATTCAATGATGAACTGCCTTTAACTGAAAAATTAGTGTTTACTATTGTCATTTTGCATTATTGACACACTATTTTCCTAATTAATGCTGTTCAGTTGCTTTGACACAATCTGTATTGTTAAAAGCGCTATATAAATAAAGGTGACTTGACTTGACTTGACTTAAATGCAGGGATGTCAATCTCCAAAATACCAAAAATGTGGTATAAATGACCCTTTTGAAGCTATTCCATAGCTTTTTGAGTCCTTTTCGGAGGTTGCCAGCTCTTATTCAAATTATACCTCAAGTCTAACACATTGAAAAGATAAATACATTATTCAAAGTTAGTGGTTGACAGATATATCACCAAGGCTGATGTATCCGCCAATATTTAGTAAAAATATTTGGCATATTTGGTAAAAGCTGGGACGTTTATTTTGACAGCGCCAATTAAAGATTACAAGGGCACGTGAATTAAAAAAATAATAAATAAATAATGATGTGCATGTATAAATTATTTATAACTGCAATATTCTATACACAAAATAAGAACTGTCCATTTAGATTTTATTGTTCCTTTAAATTGTGTTATGTGATCTATATCAGTTGACCTATTCATAATTTCCCTTTGTCTTCCACAGCAGTCAGGTTTGGAACGACAAGAGAGTTAGTAAACAATGATTTCTAATTTTTTCGCATTCACTTTTGGGTGAACTAATCCTTTGAGAAAAAAGCAGAACTTGCACAAATCCTGGATTCTGTCTGATGAATGTAAAGCGCATTATTTGTTAAACCACTCGCCCATACATTTATTGTAAACGTTCTCAGTAGAGTAGTGTGTCGCCAACAACTGGCAACAGCTGAAATTTTTAGAAAAATCATGATAACAGGACTGTGCTTATACACTGTTTTATGCACAGCAGTGAGATGAGAGCAGTGGGAAGTGACTATGATCGTCTATGGCATGATTATTTGCCCATCACAGCTCATCTATGAAGGCAGGGTCCAAAATGAACATCCAGAAAGAGCTAAAAGTGAGTCAGATTTGGCTTTACACTTGGCGAGTAAACAAAACTCACAGTTGGTTTGTAGCAGAACTGCAACAATTTAAAACACAATGCAAGAATAATGGTGTTTTTATCTCAAGTGCGAATCAGAGCAACACAATCACTGTTGCTTGTCTTCAAACAACAATTTTCCCAGTGGAAAATTAATTTCCTGCATGCATGAGTGGCATGAGGAATACTGTTACGTGTTTGTTAGTCCCTGGAGAATGAAGCAAAGCAAAAGGTTCCTCAATTACAGTTCATAATACTTGTGACGAACTGACTGAGAGTGGCGTCGTTAGGGCACACGGAACAATTAAACGGCAATTAAAGACATCAGTGTTTAAGATAAAGGACTTTAGAAAGGGAAAGTGAAGTGGAGTGTAAAGGTTACCAGGGCGTGAAGTTTCTCCTCCAGGTCTTGATTAGCTCTCTGAGATGCCGTGTAGCTGTTCTGCAGTCTGCGGGGGGAAAACAAAACAAATGTATGTCACTGTCAGGGTATAAAGCTATATCCAGATGTTATATGATATATGCTGGTGCGGTGTGGCATTGAGTTGGGAATATGGCATCAAACAACGCAGGAAACAACAGGATTTCGCTGCTGTGTTGGGAAATGCTACTGCATCCTGTCAGCTCTCTGAAGCTCACTAGAGCTCGCCACAGCTGAAGGCAGAGGGACGGCAGCTGAAGAAATATTCACAAGTTATTGCAGTAAGAAGACCTTATATTTCAAACACAGAGTTGTAAGAATATGAGTGTGTCTGATATTAAAGTCATTAAATCCTCAAGCGGTCACAACGCCAACGCAGATTACAGAATAAGCCAGAAGAGGAAAAAGAGAGGCACTTAAAGACATTTTCATCACAAAAAGCCATTAAGCTTATTCTAAGTGCAAGTCTTTTGAACAAAAAAAAACTGGCAGATTTTGTTTTGCAAGAAAAATGTTGCAAATAAAAAGACGAGGCATTATTCCCCCCCCCCCCCAATTTCAGTATTTCCAAGCCATATACAATATAATGGTAGCCTATCTGGCATAGAATGAACACCAAAAAGTGCATCTTGTTTGTCTTACATCACAAATTTAAGATTGAGCATAACTAAATATAATGTAACATAACACACACAAACACACAGTTATGCTCACCAAAGCGGCGTTAATTTGATCAAAAAAGCAGTACAAACAGCAATATTGTGAAATACTACTACAATCTAAAATAATTGTTTTCTACATTAATATATTTTAAAATGTCATTTTTGATGCAAAGCTTAATTTTCAACATCATTAATCCAGTCTTCACTGTCACATGAGATCATTTTAATATGCTGTTTTGCTGCTTTCATAAAAACATTTCTTATTATCAATGCTGAAAATAGTTGTGCTGCTTAAAATTTTTCTGGAAATGGTGATACATTTTTTTCAAATGCATGACAGGTCTTATTGCGAATAATTTATCCATGTAAGTTTCATTTTTTACATTTTGTTTGGACATATTTGATCAAAATGCAACACCCACATCTCAAAATCCAATCAACAACCGATAGACGGAACCCCTCACTACATTTTTTTTCTTTTTTAATAATCTGTAACACTTATACGTCTTAATGAGGAAGAAAAGATCTGTTGCTACTAGGGCTGCCCCCTAATAGTCGACTAACCATTAGTAAGTGACGGACAGATCATTAACAGCTAGTCTATGTGGTAATTACAGTACATTGGTCGTTTCGACCTCAAATGTGGTTTATCATCTGAAACATATAAGTAGTAGTAACATTACATTTAATACACACTTTAATGTTAACCTAGAAAAATGTGCGCTATTGAAGTGCGGCGTGTGGAAGATGAACAGTAGAGCGCTCACTGCATGACAGTCAACTTAGAGGAGCCGGAGCGATCACTTGCATTAAACTTAAAATACTCCGTCATTTTTGCTCATACAGATAAGAGTAATAAATCCTTCCAATCTGTGAAAGGTATACTTTTATTTGTGTGCACTCACAATAACAACAAATCATTGTGCTTTGTAAAATAATGAAAGCAAACAGGGTGCGCTTTCTGCCGTCCAAGTCTCTGCGAACTTGAGCGTATCAAAAAATAAATAAATTAATTAACCAAAACCTCGCAGTTTGCCTCGCAGACATTAAAAATATATCTAGCCTATAGAAAATGTCTACTTTTAAATGAACCAATTCAAATGGAAAACATATGTTTATGTTTGTCCATAAAAGTGTGTGTCCACTGTGGAGTTGACGAGTCTTCACTGCAGCCGAAAATACAGAAAACACTTATCATTATCAATGAATAATGATGTTAAAGCAGTCTTCTTACTATTTTCCCGAAGCATTCATAATCATTACTGCCGGTGTGCTGTGGCAAGCTTCATGTGTGCGCTGGAGCGCTGATAGGCTTTAGGCAATTAAAGGCTCATTATTATGAATTATATAGTTTATTAATATAAACGTGTGATTAGTCGATTAGTCGAAATGAACGACTATTAGTCGACAAGAAAAATCTTTAGCCCTCAAAGTCCTAGTTGCTACTTCCTTTTCTCAGCAACTTTAACGATACTAATGCAGAGAACAGAAAGCAGTACCATGCCCAAAATTGCCCTAAAGTGTCCATTAGATGTGTGAAAATATGTTAATCAGAGTATTTTGCCTACTATTTTATGAACGTTGTTTACGAAGACTTACTGCCATTTTACATTGTGCTTTTTGGATATTTTATAGTACATAAGTCTACATTTATGAGGAAACAAAAATGGATAGTTCACACAAAATGAGAAATCTCTCATCATATGACTTACTTCCAGTTTCTGAAAACTATCCTGGCTCTTTTCCATATAACTGAAGTGAATATGCATTATGATACCTTTATGCTGCTACTTTTGTCATTTTGCAGCTTGATAGATCCAACGTTTCTCATTATATGGAAAACAGCAGCCAGGATATCCTTGATATGCTTCAAGGAAGAGAGAAAGCCATATGGGATTGGAACAATTCCTTTAATAATTTAGACAGTAATTAGTATGTCTAATATTTATTTAATATTAAAGGGGTCATATGATGCAATTTCATTTTTTCCTTTCTCTTTGGAGTGTTAGAAGCTCTTGGTGCATAAAGAAGATCTGTAAAGTTGCAAAGACTAAAGTCTCAAATCCAAAGAGATATTCTTTATAAAAGTTAAGAGTCAGCCACACCTACTTAAAACGGCTCGTTCGAACACGCCCCCACATATCTAC